TAATGTAGGAAAACCTTGATTGAACACGTTTCCGAAATTTTTCACAAAATCAACTTATAAAGGGCAGTTTCAGTATTCGTTATAATGCCCTTAGATCTCAATTTCGGATTACGTAATATCATTATGTCATTTTCATGTTATAATATGACAATAATAATAATAACAATATTTATGAAGCGCTGCATATCTGTCTCTAGAGATGTTCAAGGCGCATACAAATATTTTAAATTAATATTCAACATACTTAAAGGTAGGCGTTACTACTGCAGCTAGAAGGGATTAGACCACACAGCGAGCCATCGAGGTCACTGTGACAGGTGGCTATCTCATTAACTCAGCTCTCATTTAACATAAGAAAAAGAGGATCATGGGGGACCAAAAGGCACCGATTTGGGAAGTTTTCTATATAGAGGAGGGAGCAAGTAGCTACAAGTAGGACAGTGTGCCTTTAAGATTTAAGAAATATTAAATGTTAACTTACATTAGATGGAACTTCACGGTGCCATGATACATACACTGTGGCACAGTGTGATTATTCGTTTGCGTGCATTGTATAAAAAGAGCATTGAAACATTATTATAATATGATCCATATCACATAAATAATTAAAATTATCTTAGGTAGATTTGGTTGAAAGTCTCTGCAATCGTGTTTTGTGTGTAGCATCCTAACCTGACTCATCCTACATGTATAATCAGGCAATCACTCGTTCAGCATATCTCAGTGGTCTAGTGGATATACCTCTTTGGATTGTGAATCACATGGTTTTAGTAGGTTCGAGTCCCATCGCGGCGCCAATGTCCTTTAACAAGTTATTAAACTATTTTGCCACTCTCCACCTTCTGTAGGTGTTAAATAGATACAGATAGAGATGAATTCCTTGAATAACAATTTTTATTAAAAAGGGCCCAGTTCTCTCTATTCAAAGCCGGTTTCATAAGTATGTTGCCCGCAGCCCTCTTTCGACTCTTTTGGTGCGGAGGAAGAAATCCAATAATTTATGAGTCATGTTACAAATCACACAGTTTGGAGTTGAAACCATTCCAAAATGATGGTGGAATCTAAAAAAGCGTCTGAAATTATCTTTTTAGGGTGGATTCAACTTTGATAGCGTTAATGTCTACTCTATTAAACGAAAAGCGCTTTAATATGCCTTCCCAAAATTATTTTAAAGCCCCTCTAAAGTGTTGGGAGCCCCTAATTCGACAACAATGTGATGGCAACGTTTTACTTAAATCATATCATAATGCGAAAGAAGATTTCATTTTTGTAAGACACACTTTAAAGGTAATACAAAGTCTTGGTATGGGGTCATGAATTTAGTTCAAATGAACATATTGGAAGCATATGCGATCATATAATATTAATTGATCATTGTCGCGGTTGAAATCGAGTCTAAAGTGATGAAATTGTAAATAATCAACTTTTTATGTTGTATAGCTCCCTCTCCAGGTCAAGATATTAATTTTGCTATAACACAATGTTTCTTGACTAAAACTGACCGATTGGCTATTCCCGTTTGGAAATTATATATCACAACTACATATTCTGAGATTTTCATGGTCGCAGCTACCATTGTATTGCCGTAGGCCCTATTCGAAATTTATTAGAATTTACCGGGAGCACCGGTAAATTTTTATATTCAATTTTTCTCGAAAGCAGAAGTGTTTTAGGGACTATATTTTCTAGTGCTTATAATACATACACAAAGACATCCAAATATATAAAAAAAAAATGTAAAGAATCACTATCCAGCCAATTTTCAGAATTTCCCAAAACTTTGTATTACCTTTAAGAAGATTTACCCCAAATGTGTGTTTGAAGACAAATATTGATAAAAGAATACACAATTTTCTGTTGTACAATGACAGAAAACCTAAATTGTGTATTCTTTCATCAATAGTCAACTTCGAACATATTTGTTTTGAGCATCATTGCAGAACTGAGTCGTAAATGACATACTCTTTTACAGTATGATACAATTTAATTAAAATGTTGCCATCACATTTGTGGGGCTCCCAACACTGTAGAGGGGCTTTAAACGTCCAACGCCCCTTCCCAGTATTTAAATAATCCGTTTCCGTCAGTGCATTTACTGGAATGGGGATTAACCCAGATAAATCAAACTTAGTCATGTTCTTAAAGAAGAGAACCAAAGGAATACAGCTTATGGTATATCATGACAGAATATTTGGAATAGTGGCGCCGCGTGGGCATTATTTTGTCCTCCCAATTCTGGCCAAATCTCCGATCCCGGCACTGTCCGTCTCTTCGTGAGGTACATTACATACCAACCCCAAGGCTCCCACACGATACACAGCACGAGAAGTGGAAAATAGGGCGCCGATACTTGTTAATCGATCGCCCTCTCACCCGGCCGACCTCTTCTTTGTTTTAACTTCCACTTGTTGCGCGCAACGACGACGAACACGCACACGGGACGTCATTCCGCGTCACAAATGGCGTACGCAGACATTAATACAAGGGGGCAGGTAAAGGGGGGAGGGGGTTGCCACGACGGCGATGTGTACATTACATGGACGGCAGTTGATATCCCTAACGCTTTGCATTTGGAAACACCAATCCATCACCACATGTTGCCACTGATAAATAAGAATTGCGAAAATGATATCTATTCATTCATTATTGATTGATTGATTTATGCATTCATTCAATTCATTTACTTATTAATTTATTCATTTATTCGTTAATTTAGTTAGTTAATTAGTTAGCTAGCTAGTAATCTAATTCATGTTATTTTTACTGAGCGTGGAAGAGGGGGAGGTCTTACACCGACTAAACACTAAGTTGGTGTAGATGGGCCTTTAATAGTCACCTCCATTGATATGTCACATTCAAAGCCCCTCCCCTGCCTCTTCCTCTTCCCCCTCCTCCGGCGGTGGAGAAGTGGTTTGATCTAATAAACATAGATTTCGGGGTAGAATTCAAAACTACTTTGAGAAGACGGACTCCAACGCATGACGCTATGTGAATCGGTGAGGTATATGGGTAGAAAATCGAAATATTGGCCGGCTCGAATTTCAAGCCTTGAAGAAAATAAATTCACTCGCACGGAGATGACTTGTATTCCCGCAAAAAGAGGAAATATATTGTTGAGTTGATCTTGTATTTTGCATAATTATCCAAGGTTGAGTTTTGCCAGAAGTAAGCAAGCCCAGATTTTATTTCGTAAACAAAAATAGTATTTATTGTAATTTTAACATGCTTGAACTGTGTTCTTTACTTGTTCGGTCATAATGTATTTTTGATTAAATTCCGAGAAAAATGAAGAATGACACCGACCGTAAATAGCACTACATAATCAACTTGCAAATGATCAGAACGAAATAAGGCAAGTAAAACAAACAAATAAACAATAAACAAACAAATACAATTCAATTCATTTCACTTCAATTAGGGTTTATTGAAACATGACTGGCAAATAGATGCTGATTTTACAGTGCAAGTAAAATAGGCCTACAATATCCATACACATTGCAACACGAGAAAACATGCGAAATAGATTGAAAAGGGTACGCAAAATAGGTTACATTGATAAAATTGGACGAAAAAACATACAAACAAAAAGTCGATATCTCCGGATTGTCGTTTACGTGATAAAAAACTGTAACAAAAAAAAGTATCCCTTTATTTTCGAAGCTGTGCGCGGAAAACAGTGCCTGATTTTAAAAAGCATTTTGGAAGTGGGGCATAGAGCTAACAGCGCACGATATCAAACCGGAAATACGACAATAACCATATTTTTGGAAATTATAATCATGTTTGTTATAAGATTGTAATTGTAAAGTATCCCCTTTTCGGCGATTCTATCTTTCAAGATCCCCCCCCCCCCCGCCCGATTTAGCCAGTTATTATCATGACGATAATATCTAATGGACAGAGAGCCAAATAGGCTGTAATCATTAAGGTCTCTTTTAACTTGTTTTTGTTTGCCTGCTTAGATTTGTTCACATATTAAAGTGACTCGGTAACATTGCCTCAGATTCTGAAACAAGATCCTGGATGCAGCTCATGCTGCAATCATAATTAAAAACCTTTAGGTCAGCCAGGAATCCCATGACTTTTACAAGCCGATCGCCTGTCTGATTATCAAGATATTTATGATTGGAAATCGAAGTTTCATTTTTCATTTTACTAACGGTTTTATAACACTACATTCCTTTGGGGAAAATGAGTAAGGTAAAACCGGTCACTCAAAGATTTTAACTTTTTTGAGGCACTTCATGATCATTTAGAAGCGCAATATTTTTAGGGTTTCAATTTTACACAATGTCGCAGACATTGATAACACGTAGGGCCATGCATATCAGATTTAACATTTTTTAACGATGCGTTTAAAGCTTTACATATATACAATACATATTTAATTAATAATTACATAATATCAAATTTTCCTCGGCCTTGCTATATGTTTGCAAAATGGTGTTATTTTCCGGTGGGACCACCAGTTTGCCGCTTCACACACAGACACGCTAATTCAACCAAATCAGGTGTCGGCGAATTATAATGCAATACACATGGACACTTACTACTATGTGGTTTTAAAAGAGATTCATTCAGTGACGTAACAATGATAACTTGATCCAATAGAAATAAACATACATGAATAATTATTGTATGTAGGTCATAACGGAGGATTTTGAAGGTCATTACAAAGTCAACCTGGGAAGAGAACTAGGGGGAGGAAAAGCAAGATATTATAATCTAGATTGAATACACAATACGTTATTCCAATTGCATTCCACATCAATCCATCAAACATCTTAACATTATGAGAAATATGCTAAAAGAGGTGGGGGAAGGATGCTGGGTTTAAAATGGATATATCATTTTGTGGAATTCCCTCCTCATTAATCCGGATGGCCAACTACTGTGTAACGCATATTTATCTTTAGATGCTCGCACGTTTATCAAACGCACGCGTAAGCCCAGCCCCTCCATTGGATAAACTCATTTATGGGTTGCGCATCCCTTATCTACCAGCAGAAGGGGGATTTGCGTTTACCAAGTGAACATCTATAGCATCGTTCTCTAGGTGGCGTTTCGCACTTTTATTTCGGAAAGGGAATTACAATACAACAATGTTTTGACGAAGAGTCTTCCCAACGCTTCTATCATCCACTTAGCGGTTCTTAGGCATCAGCGAAACATTCTCTCGCATCAGCAGAAACGTCGGAAGCTCCTCAAGCTTGTTCCTCTTTTCGTTGTTTCTTCCTCTTGCACGGCGTATAGATACCAGGGGAGGACACTTTTGCTGCCACGTCGCTTTTTGGTGCTGGTTTTTTATTTTTATTTTTTTAATTCACGAGATGAACTAATCGGTGTCTTGATTATTGAGGTGACGTCATAAAGGCCTGGATGAGAGTTGGTCTCTAACGAACTACCGCTACTTCCAAACACATTCAGAATGGTAAGAAATGTTATTCCTTTTCGTATTTCTTCTCTACTGTGCTTTATTCATTATGTATCTTTTTTCGTATGATTTGACTTCATTATGATTGTAAAATGTAATCAATTGTTCCCATCATTCTTCTTCATATATCATTAATGCCATGTGTTTCTATGATAACAGTGAACCCCTGTGGAAACAAGCTTTATCCATTAGGATGAATTATTCACCCTATTTAAATTATTGAATGTACAAATAACTAAAACGTGTTCACAAAAATGTCTTGATGCCACGATTGCTACTGCTTTGAAAAAATCATCTTAAGACAATTTAAATAGTTCTGTCTATCACATATCGAAACTTGGGAACATTACAATGACGTGTTATGTTATATTAACACGCTTTATATCGGATTTAGAATGAGGTACTGGAATTGCTCTTGAGTAGTTTTTAGAAAGTTATCTCGCTCGGGTTATGTGAAGAAATTAATGTTAAATGAATGGAACATCTGTTAAGACCTGATATATACATGTTGGGACCATCAAATATAAACATGTATATATTTAGTATTCAAGCCTGTTCCCTCTCGTCAATAATATTAAAAAATAATTGTAACTATATTATTAGATGTGAGTAACAATTATTTTAAAAAATGATACGATTACAATTAAACTGGGTTATATTGACAGAACAACTCAGTTACCTTTTAATTTTCAAAAACAACAGTCTGTATTAAATTATTAACTGTTTCTGCATGTTTTCAACTCAAGCCATACTGGCGACATTCACCACTTTCTGAAATGTAACAGAACAGTTTTTCCGAGTAGTCATTAATTTAAAAAAGAAAAGTCTGGTAAATCTTTGTTTAATCTACACAGCTTCACAATCACTGACTTCCTTCTTAAACACGGCTGCTCAACATTCTTGTTCATAGAAAAGAGGTGAATTTTGCTCTAGTTCACTTCAATGCTTGATTTGTATTAGATTGGTTGGATAAAGGATTTCAATTTAGTTGCTGATAGTGCTTCAAACTGCTGGGCGGACTGATTAATTGTTTAGCATCACCCCGTTCGATGCACTTATGTATCACAACAAAATGACTTTTTGTTAGAATCTCATCAGCGCCTTTGATTAGGCAATTACATGTACATATTGGCGCTTTACAAATTCCCTAATTGGATTGGATTGGAATATAAAATATATCTTAATAATGATTAGTTTTTACTCACTTTCATTCTTGATTTTGAACAAGTTTGGATCTCATTATTGAAGCCAATCGTAGCTTTCTGCCTACTTATCTCTATTTTCTTAATTATTCTTCTTCGTTCAAAGTTCTTGCTGAAGCCTGTCTATCTCATTTTACCTATACATATTTAATTTTTTTTCTAGCATTATCTCAGTTGTCCTTTATTTTAGTTTTGTTTTTGTTTTCTACTTTCTTTTTTTCGCATTTTCCTTTTTCTATTCTAACTTCATTCATATTATTTCCTTCTTCTTCTCCTTTTTGTTTGAATATTATAACTATTCGGATATTCTTCCCTTCGATGTTGGTGCTCTCCTTCGTTTTAATTTTCTTCTTCTTCTTTGTTCCCTTTTGTATTCTTTTTCTTTTTCTTCTTCTCTTTCTTCGTTTTCTTATTCTTCTTCTTCACCACCACCACTTCCATCACCATCATCATCACCAACATCATCTTCAGCATTATCATCATTGTCAACCATCATCATCTTCCTTTTCCTCATCCTCCTCTTCTTTTTGTTTCTTTTACTTCTTCCCCTCCTCAACACGATCTCGTTTTCCTTTTACATCTTGGTTTTTTTTAATCACTTCCTTCGTCTTTCTATGTTTTTGTTTTTTTGTTAATGTATTTCTTCCTTCCTTTCTTCGTTTAATTATTCGTTTACTACTGCTTAGTGTTCTTCTTCGTATAAATCTTCTTTTAGGTCTTTTTCTTGGTTTTATTGTTCTTTTTCTTCTTCTTTCCCTTTTTCTTCTTCTTCCTCTTTTTCTTCTTCTCCAATCTTGGTTAATTCTTCATTTTGATTTCCCCTCGTCGATTATAACAGTTTTTTGTTATCGTACAATTAATATTTAGTCCGTTTGTTACATGAATCGGTTTTCGTTTTGCTATTGCAATTACTTGAATTCTTATACAATATTCTCAAAACATGTCCATTGAGAAAATTATTGATTGAAAATCCGCAATAAAAAAACAAATGCGACAGCTATGTTACTTTCAAACAAAACTTATTGTCAGTATATTTTCTTTAGCTATAAATGCTTGTTTTCATTTTCTATTTGATAGGCAATTTCCATTCGCATCTTTTCTCGACTTGAGTGCTCATTTTCTTTCCTTATTTAAGCGATCATGTTTTTTCAATGTGTGATGCTTCACAGTAGTTTATTCAATAATTTGTTTCATTTTCATAATTCACATTCGTATTATGTCATTTCAAGCAGCAGTCCAATATTTTATCTTACTTTCTATGTAAAATTGTTTGACTTCGATTTGTTTTGAAATATGTCTGCTATCTGTCGTCTCAAAATGTTGAATTCAGCTAATTTACGGCTTCAAAAAATCAATTTTATTCTCCCGCTGACAAAAACACATACTGTACTTATTTTATAGTGATACCAAAACATCAACATAATTTTCAGGATTTTTCAAGTAATATGTATTCGTATTGAAAATGATGAATTGATTCAATTCTTAAACTTCCATTCTTATATTGATTTAATAGTAAATCACTTTCTACTCTATACAAATTTTCATCACGTTTATTTACCTGGACTTATACTTTCCAAACTAATTAATCTTACCCTAGCAACATTTTCTACTCACTCATCATGCTAAGAGTCTTTGCCGAATCCTTCCCCATTAAGGTAATGATAGATAAATGATACCGTGATGTTAAGATGACAGGGGTAATCACTATTTATGCGGGTCCTGCAATTAATGTTAGTATAATTGCCAGCTGCACACTTATTACAACTGTAGGGAGAGACAAAATTTCTTCAAATTTGAAATACATGTATGACAAGACTTATCCTAATTGTTTAAACCAAATGCCAATGCCACATAGATGTGCAGACCCATGTACACTTTAATTCATCATGAAATGGAAAAACCGCCGAGGTTTTTCCTCGTCATAACGGAACGAGCCTTATAGTCAGGTATGTCTCTAAATGCAATTCTATTGGATCCAAAACGATAATGATACTCTATAAAAGATGTTGAGGGTCGGGTTACTCGAAAATGTGAAGAAACAAATTACTAAGCTTTCTCATTCTTTGTTATGCGAGTGTGGCACAATATCATAGAATAAATAAAATGTCCTCTGAAAAAGATGAATCGTAATATTTCTTCATATTAACAAAAACACATGTATGACAAGAAATATATTGACTGTTTAGATCAAACGTCAATGCCACAGAGTTCAATGTACACTTTACGTCATCATACAAAAACGCCAAGGTTTTGCCGCGTCATTATATGAACGAGCCTTATAGTCAGGTCTGTCTCCAAATGCAATTCATTAGGGTCACATAGATACTGGTGCTCTATAGATAGATGTGGATGCAGAGGGTCTTTAAATGTCGCATATGCGGAAGGATTGTCTCCAGGGGGTGGTTCATACTAAACCAATTAGATCAAAATATCCATATCATTCTTTAATGGTTGATTAAAAGTTGAGTGATTGAAATCTAGTTCCTTACTCTCACGCTATGGGCATAGACCTATTTGCTTTTTTACTTGGCCTACTATACAGGTCTGGTGACTGATTAACATTATCCATTCAAAAGTGTCGGAGATACCCCCCCCCCCCCTTCTCATCAAGTGGCGAAAAATGATAGAAATAGAGAAATAACAAGTGATAGATACTATAGATAGGACGAGGATAGCTAGAGAAGAAGAGAATATAAATATTATGAGGAGGGCCTTGTCCAACGTCAGGATGAACTATAGCCTGATAGATAGATAGATAGATAGATAGATAAATAAATATATAAATATGTAGGTAGGTATATAGAAAGATACATAGACAGACATAAATCGTGGATGTGCTGTTTTGTAGTGGTTCATTCATTTGATTCTTAAACCCTAAGGTTGAGGGTTCGAATCTCAGCCCGTTAGTAACGTCTTTTTGGCAAGGCACTAAAATCCACACTTGCAACTCGCAACCCAAGTGTAAATGGGTACCTGGCAATTGATGGGTGAAAACTAATTGTAGGACCCTCATAAAGAACAGCTGATGCTGATGGATGGATTCTCTGGATAAACACAATTATTCGTATTGATAATATGGATAGATGAATTATTTATATTCAGTTTAATCGATCACATATAATTATTATCATTGATAATATAGATAAATATATATTTATTTGTAGCTATAGATTAATTTTCCATCTACCTATATAGATGGATATATACAAAATCGATAGCTAGAAGAAGATGAAAGGAAACTCCCCAATCGGCTGGCTTTATATAACCCGTATTTTCCCCCTCTCTGATGTTAGCGCCCCCACCGAGTGTAGATGGACGCTTGGTCATTGCCATTTAACTAGATGCTTCGCTTGTATTCTGAGAAATAACGCTCGTATTTATTATAATCATTTGAAGGAAAACAAAAACTCCATAATAGGCATAAACATCACTTTGTCACTTTGCCACCATGACTCTGTGCAAACTATCATTATTTTTCTTTTAATAAACAAAATAAACAAAAAAACAAATGGGCAGCAAAATACTGCCATTATCGACAGAACTAGGGGATTAGGAAGTTTCAAATCATTATCATCTCTCTAACTCGTTGCGAGCCTATTTTATACTCCGCATTTCTAATCCATAATGCCTTTCAAATCCACCCTCAGGATAGGATGCTTCCACGCAAAGCACTTTTTAAAAAATTTGTCTCCAGCTCTCCGTAAGTCGTTCATGGAATTAAAATTGTCACTGGTATTTGACTGATTTATGTTTTATATATTATGAAATGCTCGTCGTGCGGCTATTAGGATTACA